GAGATACCATCTTGCTTTAGCACTAGTAGCAAAGTTCAACAAGACAGAAAATAACAAATGCTGGCGAGGATGTGGAGAGATTGCGACTTTCATACACTGTTGGTGGGACTGTAAAATGGTACAACTACTGTGAAGAGCAATATGGCAATTCCTTAAAAAGTTGGACTTAGAAATACCATTTGACCCAGCCATTCCATTACTAGGTATATATCCTGCAGAAGTGAGAGCCATGACAAGAACAGACATGTGCACATCCATGTTCACCGCAGCACTATTTACAATAGCCAAAAGATGAAAACAACCTAGGTGTCCATCAACTGAGGAATGGATAAGGAAACTGTGGTACATACACACAATGGAATACGATCCAACCCTAAATAATAATCTAGAATCTGCAAAACACCACATAATGTGGATGAACTTGGATGACATTATGTTGAGTGAAGTCAATCACAAGACATATATTGTATTAGTTCCTTATTGTCAAAGTCAAGGAAAGGTTTATCTATGGATGGAAATTTTCTGTGTTGGTTACCAGGGGTGGGAGGGGAGGAGAGAGAATACTGCTAGATAAGTAGTAAAGTATTGGTTTGGGTGAAGAGAAGGGCAACGTACCAAATGTAAGTGATCAACACAGCGGCACTGAGGAAGAAGAAGACATAGAGATGTACATGAGAGGCACAAAGAAAGATGAACCCTGGTGCACCTACAGTACTCTGTTGTCAGTGAAGGCAGGCATGGATATATGGGGGGATAGATGGGTGGACAGGCTGAACTATTAGGGGTGCATACCCAAGACCATGTATAGGGTTGGTAGACAATGGTCCTAGAAGTGTATTTGTATGATCTGAATTCCCATGTATGTATAGTAGAGCTGACAAGGGACAAGGTTGTAGTCACTTGTTGGTCACAGGCAGCTACCCAGAGGGACCGAGCAGTTGAATCTGTGGTCTTGAGACCACAATTGCAGGGGACATCAAGCTCAACTGGCATAACATACTATACAAAGCACTGTTCCACCTCCTACTTTGGTGAGTAGTGACTGTGATGTCAAAAGCTTGCAAGCAGCCATCTAGATGCAACGATGGGTCTCTCCTTGTCCAGAGCAAAGAATAATGAAAAAAACCAAAGATTCATGGAAACAATTAGTCCTAGTGACTGGTACACCATGAAATCTGCAGCCTATACGACTATGACACCAGAAGACCTAGATGGTGCCCGGCTACCACTGTCAACCACTCGGAGGGGGAATCTATGTATGAGATCCTGGATAGAGAGGGAGAACAACGTGGAACAAAACTCAAAATCATTTGGGGTGGGGGAGGGACCAAGTTTACTGGTCTGATAGAGTCTGGTGGAACCACTGAGATTATGGCCCCTAGTTGCCCTTCAGCTCCGTTACCGAACCCACACCTGTGGCTTCCAGCCAAACAAAAGACAGGTATATGAATGGAATATTTACATGAGGTAGATACACTCCTTGGAAAGAATAATCATGGGAGAAAGAAGGGCTGTTTATGCACAGGGAGACTGCTCAGGTGGCAGGAGTGCACGGAGGGATGGACAAAGGGAAGAGGTAACTATGGGGAGGAAGTGGGAGGGGAGTTGTTGCATTGGGGTAAATTGTAGTCAATGTCATGAGACAAAGTGTATGTGAACTGCTGTATGGAAAGTGAATTTGCTCTGTAAATTTTCACCCAAATCACAATTAAAAAAAAAAAAAAAAAAAAAAGCCAGTTGCATACATCCAAAATGGCCATGCCCACAGTCCACAAACCTTCAACATAGCTGCATCCTCAGGACTGCTGGTGGCAGTTCGCAGGTCTGTTTGTCTCTTTCCCCACCAATTTCCTTTCTGGTTGTCATGCAACAATTCTCTCCCTGCCCATGCAGTCCTCAGTGAGAAGCAATTCTCAGGTTGCTGCAGGGAAATATTCAAAATGGCTGTGCCCCCAGGACAGCCAGCAGTCCACCACTCCATATGTTTCCTCACATGTTTTCTTCAGATTCTTCTAGTAGGTAGTATTTAATCCCCTTCTTTTTCTTTCCCTTCAAAGATCCTGATTTCAGGATCATCTTCTGTATTGGTTTAAATTATTTTCTCATTGCTTTGTTGCAGAGGGTCTGTGTGGCTTGTCTGCCTATTCCGTTATCTTGGCAGAACTCCTCCCAAAAGGTTTTAATATGCCGTTCATACAACATCAAAATCACATAATGAACTATTTCGCAGAATGTACTGTGGATGTTAAGTGGCACAAAACTGTGAAATTATGTCATCAGAAGTGGACAGATATTGTATGATCACACTTTATTAATAATAAATATATGTATATATGTGTGTGTGTGTGTGTGTGTATATATATACATATATATACACATACATACATATACAGAGAACAATGCCCACTGGTGGTTACCAGGGATGGGTACAGGGGACCACTCTAGAGACATAAACAGTTGTTATTATTGGTGATGGGAAAGGCAGCATTGCATGTGGGTAAAGTGCACATAGCTTGACCAGGGTATGTGATGTCACTAGGAAGGGTATAAGAGAAAAGGATGTAAAAGATATGACAAATATAACTTTGCAAGAGCACGAACCACCACCAGTATATATGTATGTGGTTCCACAAACAAGTATATAGCCATACATGTGTATGAGTATGCGTATGTGGGCATACATGTATACACAGACAGATCTATCTATATGCATATGTACACACAGGTATGTATGTGCATGCATGTTTATCCATATATATAATAAACCACAAAGAGGACACAGTTATGGTACTTCTTCAATATAACCAAACACCTCATGAAATTGTTTTTGGAGTGTGAAGGCTTAGAACCATAGTCTTGTGGGATAATTCAGTTAATTGGCATCATATAGTTCAAAAAGTGTATGTTCTACATCCCACCATGGTGAGAAGTGTCTGGGGTTTTAAAAGTTTGTGAGCAGACACCTAAGAGAAAACTCTTGGTCTCTACTTGTCAAGAACAAAAAGGAAAGAAGTAACGAAAGACTCAAACAAAGTAGTGTATAGCACTAATAGTCTACACAAAACACAGCCTGATCAACCCTGAGACCACAGAAACTAGATGGTGCCTGCTTACCACTACTGAGCATTCTGATGGATCCTGATAGAACATAAGAAAAATGTGGACGAGAACTCAGATTCTTAAAAAGTCCAGAGTTACTGGACCAGTTGAGCCTACAGCCCTTCCCAAGACTATCACCCTGAGATAAGCTTTAAACCATAAACTGTAATTGTCCCTTGAGATTACCTGTTAACTAAATAACAGACTGATTTATAAAATAAAGAATATTATCTGTGAGTAATAACCTCCTTTAAAAAATCATCTAATAGACCACCAAATGGCCAAAAATTACTCTAAACTAAAGCAACGATGACACAGGAAAGAGGCAGGGATTACTAGAAACGGTACAACCAGAGCAGAATGAATGAGAATGACGACATATTGTGAAAACTCTAACTATCATCATTTAATAATTTGTGTAGAAATTATTCAATGGGAACCTAATTTACCATGTAAACTTTCACTCTAAACACAATAAAGTATTACTGTTTTAAAAAAATCTTAGTTGGAGGATAAGAAACTTTGGAAACAAAAGGTAAAACACACTTCAATGTCCAAATAAAATGACAAAATGTAATACACTTTTAACAAAAAAAACTTTATTGAATTACAAATTTAAAAATGGATCACTTAATTTAAAAATGAGACTATTTTATGCTTCTTAAACTCACTCTTTCCAAAATTCAACTTTTTCTAAAATGACTAAAACAACAGGCTAATCAGTAAACTGACAAAGTAGAAGTGGGTGGGTACCAGTGGCCAATTCTTATATACGGAGCTTAACATGGACCTTAAAATATTATTTTCTGTATTATGTCAAAATGACTTGCGATAAGAAATGAGGAAAAGGTGACAAGAGGAAGTAAAAAGCATGTACTGAGGTCTTTCTATAGGTGTCTGACAGAAAGCAGATGTATGATAAAATGTGATCTCTGCATCACTGGTCTATCAGAGGTGCTACAAGAAGTATACACAAAGGAATCAAAGTGAAACCATTAGTTCTCATTCCTAAACAGAACAAAAGGCATTCGATTAAACAAAACAAAAAGTGAAACTGAATTGTAAGATCTGTGCTATTATTTGGGTTATAGCCCACATATCCAGTTTGTTAAACATCATTCAGTATGTAACTAAATAAAACAGCAAATAAGACTCAAGGCAAAAGTATTTTCTATCAACCTCCATATAGAAAGACTATAGTTTTATTGGTTTATAGAGTCCTTAAGCTTTAATGGTTTATAGAATCCTTAAGCTTAATTATTGGTCAGTATGAATTCTGAAATAAAAATCAAGTTGTGAACTGCTTACAATAAGTACACTATTGTAAAATGCTACTTTTCTTCCCAGTGTGTCTTCCTATGAGAGAGGAAAACAAAAGCTTTTAATCTTTGCTTGTGTGGGGATTTACAAAATTTCTACTAAACTACAACAGTGATCTTCTGTAAAAATAAAACTACAAAGTTAAACAAGTAATAAGCAACAAACCCAAACTGATTTCAACTAAGTCATGTACAAGTAATGTACATGTATAAGAAATTGTAAGAAATGATGATCACAGTTAGTTACAGATGCAAAGTAAGATCTAATTATCCCAAACAAGTGAATACAATAATTAAAATCAGATTCATATGTCAGTCCAAATATTATGTACAATTTAGATAAGCTGGTCAAGAAGTACTGTTTGAATACACACCATATTTGATAAACCTAAAATTATTTTTTTTATTCCTTTAATATTTGCAAAAACATGCCAATATGGAAAAAAGTTTAATTTCCATTTACGTATTAACAGGGAAGATAGCATTTCTAGTGTGTATGTTTCACCCTATAAAAAAGTTAAAGTATATTTTCCTTTAAGAAAAAAAATAAATTCAATTGCCGAAAGTTTAATTCATAAAAGTTTAATGTCAACTTACTCATAAAAATGAAAAGAAAAAGGAACACTTTCTTTTTTTTTTTTTTAAACAGATACCATACAATTATTACATGGTCTCCCTACTGATCTGAAACTACAGAAGGCATTTAAGAAGGGGATGTTATGTCAAAAAAAAAAAAAAAAGACTAACCAAAGAGATGTGTGCTGCTTTAAAAATTTGATTTGCAGGGAAATTAGTTGCTTGGCCTAGTTTTAAAGCTAATTACAAAATTCATTTTCTTAATGGTCCAGATATCTTGCCAATTCTTCCAACTCAACAGAACTGTCAAAAAAAGAAGAAATATTTTATAAGCTTTTTAAATAGACAATGGAAGTACACTGATACAAGTGTATGAATAATATGACATAAACTTTATTTTGCTAAAGAGAAACTGGTATTTTTTAAAAGATGCTGTATTTTTCAGGCATGCACTTCTTTAAATCCAATGGGTGCTATGTCAGACCTTATGCTGCAAACTGCCTGTGTCTAAAATCAGCTGCAGTATCTCTGCTCCTGATAATGACCCATCAAGCAAAACAAATCTAAGAGCACTACCTGAAAAATCCAGGTTTACTCAAAAGATTTTAACAAATGTGAATGTCCTTCTCTTACGCTAATGTAAAAACTTTTGTCAACATGTAAGGACAAGAGACATCCTGCTTCAAACCATGAGGATGGACTCAATACTAGTCATCTCCTCAATTCAGAAGTAAATCTTTTTGTATAATAAAATGAGTACTCTCTTCAACACTTAAAACAATGTCTAGGGTCAAAGTCCTATACCGTATTTGTAGGGGATATACACCCACTGTCTTGCTTTTATTATCACTTCTGACTTTCAGGAACTGCTTTAACCTATGTATAATTCAATATAAGCACTAAGCTGAAAAGTCTGCATTACTTTATAAAGGGATTCTTGTATAAACTTCACAAAAACTAATGAAAAATATCCAGCATTTTCGGAGCACTGACAATTTATCAGGCACTCTAAACATATCATCTCTACTCACTGTAACCTAAAATGTATTATTTCCATTTAATACATGAAAAAATTACAGTTAAGTAATGGTAAGTAGCAAGAGAGTTCACAGTCTGTTTTGCTCCGAAGACTATTTTCCTTCTATGTGAATCTCTCCAACATCTCCCTTCCCATCCCATCTCTATTAATAATACAAGTGTTCTTAGAGCTGATGTTCAATCCTTCACCCAATTTTAAACTATATTTCTAGGGCTTACAAAAAACACTCAAGAATTAATCATTTAAATGACAAAAATTTACCTGTGTGGACTAATTTAAGACTACATGAACAATATGAAGACTTAATGAAAAGCCTACCAAACAACAGTAGACATCTGTATTTCCTAAAATAAACACTAAAATCAGTGAGCTTGATTTCAACAATTACATATGTTGATATATATGTACAGATAAGCCAGAAGTACAAAAGTAGAAGTGTTTGTATTTTCAAAATTGAACGAACATAGTATATGTAGGACTATGATATAATAATCCACATTTAAGATTCACTTCCACTACTCATGCTCTAAAACAATATGAAGGTAATAAAAGAAAGCATTTATTTCTAAGAGTACAAAATATGACATCCCATCACAAGTGGTTAGTCATTGACTTCCCTGGTATTGGTCAAGTGTGAGGCTATGAATATATTTGATATGTAGGCAGACTTACAACAAAATTTAAATAAATAATTCTACCAGAAGGCTAGCAGTTCAAACCCACCAGCTAGTTCCTCAGAAGGAAGGTTGGGCAATCTACTTCGATAGTGATACCGCCTAGGAAACCCAAGGAGGGGTCGCTAGGGGTCAGATCCAACTCGACAGCATTGAGTTTTTTTGTTTTTTTTTTTTTCGGTTTTATAAATGATTATAATATGAACCAAGAGGTACAATACCTTCCATCGATTTCCACATTCATTACAGACAACAAATGTTGTCATTGGTTCATCAGCACTGCGGGTTTGTACCTGCAACAAAAGTAAGTGAAAAACATTACCTAATGCAGTACTATAAAAAGTAAGACCTAAATAAGAACAGTTTATGTGAAGATATATAACAACCACTATGGTACCACAATAAAACAAGAGCCTGAAGGAAGTTCAAATAAGTTAAATAATACCCAAACAGTATACATTACCAAATCTTAGTTTCATACTTCCTTGTTTGTTTGTCTTTTCATTTGTTTATTTCAGGTAAGTGAGGAAATCCATGACAGTCACTCATTAAATTTTTTATAAATGGCTAATATGAATAACTATTCATCATTATGAAGCACAGAAATGTAAATTAAAAGATATATCAATTTTCTCCTATCACATTAGCAAAGATGTAAAAATTATTTCAGTCTGACAAATGTGAAAATCTAACTCTACAACCTTTCAAATAGCTGGTCACCAACAGGAAAGAGCTTTAAATAACCATTCTTTGTAACCCAGGAGTTTGATATCAATTCTATTTTAAGACCATACTTAGAAATGCAAATAAAGATCTATATAAAAGGATGTTTGAAGAATATAATTTTGTAATAGCATAGACACTGGAAACAAACATAGAAATCACTGAGCTTTTAAATAAGTTAAGCAACCAATAATATATTTATAAAAGTTTTTGATGAAAATGCTTAAATTCTAATAGCTAAATGAAAGAAAGTGCATAAAATACTTTCCAAAGTATTCAGCTGCAACTATTTAGGAAAGACTATGAAATACTACAGACTCTGAAATATTATCATTGTTTTCTCTGGGTGGCAGACTATTGGTGATTTTAAATTTCTTGTTCCTATTTTTCTGACTGTTCAAATTTTCCTTGAGAAGTTGCAGAGTGACAGAAGTTAAGCACTCAACTTCTAGGGAAAACGTTTGATGGTTCAAAGCCACCTAAAGGTGTCTCAGAAGAGAGGCCTGGTGATCTACTTCTCTAAGGTCAGTCTTGAAAACCCTATGGAGCAGTTACACTCTGCACACATGGTATAACTATGAGTCAGAATCAACTTCATGACAGCTAACAACAACAAAAAAACAAAGCTTAAACTCACTGCCATCGAGTCGATTCCAACTCACAGCAACTCCCACTGGGTTTCCAAGATGGTAAATCTTTATGGAAGTAATCTTCCTTCTGCAGAGCAGCTGGTGGGTGTGAACCACCAACATTTGGTTAGCAGTCAAATGCCTTATGTACTGTACCACCAGAGCAACAACAAATACTATTACAAAGCTAAAAAAAAAAAAAAAAAAGCTAATATGATTGTTTTAAATTTTTATCCTCAAAAGACTACAGACTTTAGTGTGCCCATGACCATGCACAGGGTTGGCAGACAATGTTTCTATAAGCGTATATGTATGTGCTATAAAAATGTCCAGTTATATAGCAGAGCTGCCAAGGGACAAGGCTGTGGTGAGTTCTTGGCCACAGCCAGCTACCTGGAGGAACCCAGTACTTGGAGCTGGGGGCTTGAGCCCATCGTTACAAGGGACATCAAGCTCAAATAGCATAACATACCACACAAAAACACTGTTCTACATCCTACTTTGGGGTCTTAAAAGCTTGCAAGCAGCCATCTAGATGCAATGATAGGTCTTTCCTTGTCCAGGGCAAAGAAGAATGAAGAAAAACAAAGATGCACGGAAAAAATTGGTCCAAGGGACTAGTAGACCATGTAAGCCTCAGCCTATATATAACCATAAGAACAGAAGAAATAGATGGTGCCCAGCTAACACTGTCAACCACTTGGAATGGTATTGGTGCAGGAGATTCTGGATAGAGTGGGAGAAAAATGTGAAACAAAACTCAGAATCATAAAAAAAAAGATCAGGTTTGCTGGTCTAATAGAGCCTGGTGAGACCCCTGAGACCTATGGCCGCTAACTACCCTTCAGGTCTGGAATTGAACTCACTCCTGTAGCTTCCAGCTAAACAACAGTCAGGTATATGGGCTGAACATTTACATCAGGTAGATATACACATACACTGCTTGGAGTGATCAATAATAGGAGAACAGAAGGGCAGTGTTTACACAGGGAGACAGCTCTGGCAGTGGGACTGCATGGGAGCGAAGGACACAGGGAAGAGGTAATTACAGAGAGGAAGTATAAAAACAACTGTTACACTGTGGGGAATTATAGTCAGTATCATAAGACAAAATGTGTATGAACTGCTGTATGGAAAATGAATTTGCTCTGCAAACTTTCACCTAAATCACAATTAAAAAAAAAAAAAAAGATTATAGACTTTTAAACTTTTCCAGTGAAGAGAATTCTTGGAATCAAAAGTCTCAAAGACAGAAAGGCTACTTTTTTAACTAACCATTCCTGAAGAAAGTTGACAAAGCATTTTAAGAGTTTACATTTATTCTTAAATTTAATTATGTTAAAGGAAGAGAAGAGGAAGAAGGGTAAAGGCAAGAAGTTAGATACTAATAATACTTACTATATTGTGAATACTGTCTATTTTAGTGTGAGATGTTGAATCCCAGTTTCTCACCACTTAAAAGACTGGAATGTTCGTGGTACCCATCAACTCTCATAAAGGAATCTAAAGAAAATCCATTCCCAAAACAGCAGCATTCTGCTTATTTAAGACCTTCTTATAAAAGTTTGAAAAAGTCTTCTGAAATTTTTACACATACTTAAAACTGATATCCAGGACCCTAAAAGTATAGCTATGAAGAACATTTTACTCTCTTGGTAAACATTTTAATCGTCTGGTGGACACATGTTAACCAAGAGTCACGTTTCTTTTATTTGTATCAGGGCTCTGTACTGGGTCAGCGTGTTTCACTCATGGCCAACAAAGTAACATAGGAATGGGCCTTAATTTTTAAAATGTGAGTGAACCAACATGGTAACTGGAATGGGAAGAATTAAGGATCAAAGCCCAAGCAGAAATTTAATCTCCTTCTTAGAAAACAAAGACAGCAGGCATGCATTCTGTCAAAACTCTTGACAGAATGAGTGGAAAACAATAGTCCCCAACTCAAAAATGGCAGACACTGTACTGCTTTGAGTATATGTTGCTCTTCACAGTCCTGGTAATAACCCAATCTCTGGGATCAGGCTCCTGAAGGGGCTTACTATGCCTCTTTCAAGTATCCAATTCCAAGGCTTTGACCCATTTTTTTCCCCATTCTAGTCAGCACCCTAAATTACTCAAATCTTAAAAATACAAGTCTGTTCTAGTTTCACTTCATCAACCATGACTGAACTGGTTTAAAGCCCTGACTCATTAATTTGTTACTTTTCAGAGAATTTCTGATGTTTTCTGTATAAAGAGAAAATGTTTTTATTCTAAGAAAAAAATTATAACTTCATTTCTAAACTAAGCTTTTTCTACTGAATGAAACAAACTTGATAATTTTTTTATCTTATTTATAATCTGATTATGTAAATATATCAACACTTCATATTTTAAAGTTGTTTTACTTCTACCATCAAAAAGACTAATAATACAAATAAAAAATGGGCAAAGGACAGATCTACTTCACTAAAGAAGACATTCAGACAGCTAACAAACCCATAAAGAGATGCTCATTAACACTGGCCATAAAAAAAAAAAAAACAAAACTGACTGCCATTGAGTCAATTCTGACACATAACAACCCCCACTGGATTTCCAAGGCTGTAAATCTTTACAGAAGTAGACTGTCCCATCTTCCTTCTGCAGAATGGCTGGTGGATGTGAACCACCAACCTTCTGGTTAGCAGTCAAATGCCTTAGGCACTGTGTCACCAGAGTTCTTTTCATTAGCCATAATAGAGACATAAATCACAACTACAATGAGTTACTATCTTATCCCTGCAAACAAGGCAATCACTGGGAGTTCTGGTAAGATGGCAGAATAGGCAAACAAGCTACACAGACCCTCTTCAACAAAGAAACGAGAAACCAATTGGCAGAGATACAGAAGAAAATCCTGGAGCTCTGAGCTTTGAAAGGAAGTATACAGAAGTGGATTAGGCACCAACTAATGGAAAAATCTGAATGAAAACAGTAACTAAGAAAACAGCAGAGCTGCGGATTGTTAGCTACTCTGATGGCACCAACTGCCTGAATATTTCCAAGTGTTGTTGTTGTTATGTGCTGTTGAGTTGGACCCGACTCATAGCGACCCTTCCTTGGGTTTCCGAGGCAGTATCACTGGCTGGTGGGTTTGAACCGCCAGCCTTCTGGTTAGCAGTCAAGTGCCTTAGGCACTACGCTACCAGAGCTCCTTCATTAGCCATTAGAGAGATGCAAATCACAACAACCACGAGATACCATCTTACCCCAGCATTAGTAGCATAGTTCAACAAGATAGAAAATAACAAATGCTGGTGAGGATGTGGAGAGACTGGGACTCTCATACACTACTAGTAGGACTGTAAAGTTATACAGTCACTGTGGAAATTGGTATGGCAATTCCTAAAGTAGTTGGAATTAGAAATACCATTTGGCCCAGCAATCCCATTACTAGGTATATATCCTAAAGAAAAGAAAGGCCACACACGAGTAGATATATGCACACCCATGTTCATTGCAGCACTATTCCCAATAGCAAAGAGACGGAGGCAACCTAAGTGCCCATGAACCAAGGAATGAATAAGCAAACTGTGGTACATACACACAATGGAATACTATGCAACCGTGAAGAATAATGGAGAATCTGCAAAACACAGAATAATGTGGATGAACTTGGAAGATATTATGTCGTCGAGGGTTTCCGAGGTGGTATCACTATGGAAGTAGATTGCCCAACCTTCCAAGGAGTGGCTGGTGGGTTTGGACCAGCCAGCCTTCTGGTTAGCAGTCAAGTGCCTTAGGCACTATGCTACCAGAGCTCCTCGAAGTGGTGTCAGGACCTGAGAATTGACCTAAAGATCAGCCCTGGGCACCAAGGACTGCAGGGACGACTGTGCTGGTGTCCAAAAACTAAGAAGGGATATAGCAAGGAGGGAGACAACCTGAACTGTGAACTTTTGGCTGTCTAGAGGATG